AGTGGTGGCACTGGGCACAGTATCCACTGTAGGCCTGACACACCCGCTGGCAGACAACTAACAGCTATTCAATCTATAACAGTGAAAAAAGTTTTTGTTTTTAAATGCAAGCTATTGTGACACTAGTGAGTGAGTGGTGGCACTGGGCACAGTATCCACTGTAGGCCTGACACAGAAGCTGGCAGACAACTAACTGCTATTCAATCTATTATAGTGAAAACATTTTAATTTTTTTTAAATGCAAGCTATTGTGACACCAGTGAGTGAGTGGTGGCACTGACTGGGCAAATGGGCACAGTATCCCCTGTGAGCCTGACACAGAAGCTGGCAGTAGTGGCAGACAACTAACTGCTATTCAATCTATTACAGTGAAAAAAGTTTTTTGTTTTTAAATCCAAGCTATTGTGACACCAGATGTAATTGGTGGCACTGACTGGGGAAATGGGCACTGTGAGCCTGACACAGAAGCTGGCAGCAGTGGCAGACAACTATGTGCATTTACATTAGATAGAAAAAAAAAATCCAAAAAAAGCATACCCTTATCCCTAACCTAGCTATGCTTTTCCCTATCTTATGAACAGCAGCTACACTTTCCCTCCTCTTACTAAGCATGCAGCTTGAGAATGAATCTAAAATGGATGCTGTCCAGTAGGTGGGAGGGTCTGCTAGGGAGGCTGTGCTGCTAATTGGCTGGAATGTGTCTGCTGACTGTGAGGTACAGGGTCAAAGTTTACTCAATGATGACGAATAGGGGGCGGGTCGAACCGCGCATATGTTCGCCCGCCGTGGCGAACGCGAACATGCTATGTTCGCCAGGAACCGTTCGCTGGCGAACCGTTCGGTACATCACTACCCACCCCTTCTAACCCTCTCTAGACTTGCTGAGGCTGTCCAATCACATACTTCCCAATGCAGCTCAATGAAATGTTTTTGCAAGACAGGTGTTCTGGACAATTGCTGTATTTTGAGCAAAATTACCAAGAAGTAGCAGAACCCATTGCCTGATTGACAGCCAGGGGAGGTGTAACAAGGTTTTATTTATATAAGTGCCAATTTCTAATAAAATCTGCACTTTTTGTAAAATGAAAAAAAGGGGATCCATGCTTCACACATAAATCACTTCAGAAAGTGAACCTGCTTTAGGTGTGTGAAGTATTGATCCCACTTAAATCAAACAGTTCACCATAAACCATTATAGTTGGCACAGTTACATTGGTCTTTAAACATCTGTTATTTTCTAACTTTTCAAATATTGGCCTCAAGTTAATAAGCTTTCCCAATGATTTGATACTGTTGGAAAAACATTACAAATGATTTATTTACAGAGGTCAGATAAATACTTTTTCTGGGGCACAGGGCGAGGTGGCCGTGCTGAACGGATGCAACTACTGGGAGCGCCATAGCTTTTCGTGTTTTTTTAATATAATTAGCTTTTCTCACCTACAGTCCCAGCCTTGTCCTGGTACCAGTGAACACAGGAAAATATTGTGGATCTCCTCCTGCTCCTGCTATCTGGCACCTACATGTTCCTGATTTGCAGTGTCTACCAGCCGCCAAGCGTTAAGGCATGGATGGTTGCTCTGGTGGGATAGGTATCCGATCTCCAGCCTGCAGTGTGTGCCATTCCTGGCTTGAAGTAACAAGCTTCACTGTGTCCCTGTCCTCCCCCCTTAGACCAGTGAGGGTTATCCCAGTCTCCTCTGCCTGGACCATTCAATTAGCCTCTGAGCTTCACCATACATCAAGGCAGTCAGCACGGGCCGTTTAAGATGGCCAACACACAGCAGGGTCTGAGAAGAGTGGGAGCCCTCAGAGGACTCTGGCAGATAGCCTAAGGGCATTTGACCTAATCTGTGCCAGATTTTGGGCGAAGCTTGAAAAGCGAAAATGCCCTGCTACTCATAGTGGATATCTCCAATACCTCCAGCCAGTCGCCAAACTCAAGCCACAACCAGCACAGCAACAGCCATCTCCAGACCAGGAGTCCCCTGGAAAACAAGTTAGTTCAGTGACTATTGGAAAGCAACATCTGCCGGCTCTCATTTTCACCGACTGGGAAGATCACACTGACAAATTGATAGAGCTCTGAGTACAGGGGACCTACCTGGGCTTATATGGTGGTCAGCTTCTGCAAAATCAGAGACAGCATCTGAGATAGAACTGGGTCTGGGATGGCAGACGTCAGCTCCATATTTTCTATATTTGTGCTTCTGGATCAGGTTGAAGTGGTCTCTGCAGTGGCGATTCTCATCTGGGGGCTCAACTATGCTTTAACATTGCCTTATTGAAATGTGACTTGGTAGAGGTTCTTATATTTTAAGTTTTGCATCTCTGTGCTTCTCTGTATCTTAACACTACTGCTAACCAGTTCTATACTTATAGGTTATATACCTAAAAAAAAAAAAAATGTGCAGATTATCCTGACAAGTTTTTACCTAAGATCCATGCAATTTCCCATTGCCTCGGTTAACCCTATGACATTGTTCACTTGTGTAAACATCACTGCACATCAAAAATAAAGAATGACAAAAAGAAAATCTTTTTTTCAAACACTACTGAATTATTTGGAAAGCTTATTAAATCAAGGTCATCGTTTAAAAACTTATATTAAGTTTTTGATTTTATCAAGACACCTTGTTATCATTCCCGATGATATCATTATACCATTTCCCAACATTTTTAAATAAATTGGCACTTTCAGTCTTTACTAGTTAACCTTTAATGCTATCTTTTCTTCCTCTTAAATCCTATCCTAGTTTATAAAATGTCAGATAATTCGCTCATCCTATCTCCTAAAACAGTAGCCTCATCATCCTCTCTGTAGAGTATGTAGCAAATCTCAAAAACAGCCCAGTTCTCCAAAAACCCCAATCACTCCTTGCTATATCAGTCTTAGCCAACAATGTTTCCCCTGAGGCACCTGCCTTCCTCACTGATATTGCATGTTGTTCTGACAATATTTCAGAAAATAATACCCTGGTACTCCTTACAATAAACCTGTTTCAAAGTTCTCAAAATTAATGTTAAGGACTCTACATCTACATCCGGCTTTCTTTTTAGTTAAAATCTTGGGATAACAATATGCAAGTGACTTGTACTGCTTACTTATTGCTTTGTTATTTTACGGAATTCCTAACAAAACCAAATTAAGATTGCAAATATATTTTTTTACACAAAATGAATCATTTATATTGAATCTCACTTGCTATTTGTCAGCCCAGGCATTAGGACATTTGGTTTGACTGAATCTCTATGTTCTCCATCTGACATTAGTATGTTTGTAGAAAAACGTTAATTTTCATTATGGGATATTTGTTGATTCAATTATATATTGTATATTATTAATGATATATATTGTATTTAGGTTATGGGATAATTCCAGCAGCGCTTGAATTAAAACATATATTTTTTGTAAGGAGAACCATGTCTTATTGCACTATTACTGAACAAATTACCCAGTTGATTACAGGGCTGATACAACGGTTTAGGGTACCTGAGGCAAACCACATACATTATCCTCAGTGTGAAGACTATCGTGGCTTTGACTACAGTGGTTAACACCATGATCAATAGCACCCTAATTGAAGAGGTTCAGGAAGTGGCATCATTAGCTGTGGGCTAATGACCATATCCTTCTGGTTAAAAGGATAAATGAGATCTGGAATCAAGTCTACGCGGCTGCTTGTCTCCTTTTATTATCCTTTTACTCCATTGCTTCTTCTTGTAATTAGTTTAGTTTCCCTTTTGACATGTCCTTTGTTTCAAATGTTCTCTTTTGCTGATGTCTTCTCTTCTTCCTTTGCCGTCAACCTTGTGATTGGTGTGACCTACTTTACCATTATAGCAGAGAAAACAAATCGTCTCGTTATAAGGTCCCATTGAAAAGTCTCTTATATACACCCTGTTCCAAATTATTGTGAAAATGATATTGTTCTCATTTACCTAAATAATTGATGTAAATAACAGTCAGCATAATTCTCATGTTATCAACTATTAAAAGTACAATTCTTATTTTATTGAACAAACC